CCAGTCCTATGACAAAAATCACAATACATCGCGTTTTTTTCTCTATCGTAACGAAGCCAGGTGAAAGTTGACAACCAAACTTGTCGGAATTCTTGTACAATGGACAGCTTACTTTTATTTTGTGTGTCATCATTACTTTGTTTATCATTCGGGGCATTCTTTTGAGTCTCAGTTTCATTCAGCATTTCTACTTTGTTCGATTTTGCAAAGAAAGACGATATCGGCTTTAGTATTGTTTTCTTCATTGCCATGTTTCTTTAAATCTTTGCACATGCTCAGAAAGACAAATGAAACATGAAACTGCGAATAAAATGTGTGCTGTCGTCATCAAAATGCCAATTAATATCTTGTATATTGTTTTATTAAACCTTTTATTGTTTAAGTAATTTGACTTTGCTCGTTTTATTAAAAAAAAAAAAGAAGTTTAACAGACATTTTTCACTCAGTAATGAGCTTTGGAAGATTGTCGGTGAAAAAAAACACGGTCGCCAAAAGATAAGCGTTTTATTATTTCTAGTCGCCACTTGGAAAAATCACTCGCAAATGCGACTGTCTCACTTGCAACGTAGAGCTCTGTCATATCAATTTTTTTTAGAAATTTATATGGGGGTGGGCTGAAATATTTATAGGAAGACTATGAAGGAGTGATGCTAGAGCTGTGAAATCTGGCATGTGTTAATTTCAACTCTTCTTAATAACTGCATTCTTTCTTTTCAGCTGAACTGACATTTGACTGTTCAAAGAAAACTGTTCATCCTCTTGGTAAAAAAAAAGTCATCATTACTGTTATACTGGTTCCAAGCCAAGGGTTTTTCATGTTGGAGAACAGATGATAGTCAGTTGGGGCCAAATCAGGAGAATAAGGAGGGTGATGAACCAGTTGAGCATTGTCCTGATGAAACCAGACCTTTTGTCAGTTTTCTTGGGTTATGGTCATGATAGCCTTTTGCAACTGCCTCATCAGGTTGGAATAGTATTCTCCATTGATGGCATGGCCCTTTTATGGATAGTCAATAAACACAATGCCTTTGCATTTCAAAAAAACTAACACCATCACCTTCCCTGTAGATGAAACGGACTTTACTTTCTTTGGAGCAGGTGAGATGTGGACAAAAGAAAAAAAAACAAAAAACAATTCCTCTTACATTAACTACAATCAGGTCATGATGAAATGACTACATAAAATAAAATCTCATTACCTAAAACTAATAAACTTTATTCCAATTACGAAAATTTAAAACCAAAGAAAAATACACAAAAGAGATTTTATATATATATATATATAAGACATAAAAAAAGTAAATATATAAATAAAATAGACACAATAGGTCATGATTATAAATAACCTTAAGCATTAACCCTTAAGACAAGAATTGGGTAGGGCTGGTTTACTCCTCCCTTTATTTTCTTTTATCCTCCCAGTCACCTATATATTGAGCTCCCTAAAGGAGTATTGTATTGGCACTTGGTCTGAAGATCTTAGTGTGGTATAAAACTGTCAGTTACTAAGAAGTGTTGATTCCTATATTCACACTGTCTATATCTATAAACGTTATCCAATATCTTCAATTTTGTTCACTCTTTCCCCATATATATATATATATATACACACACACACACACACATACCAGTATAGGATTGGTGCATACAGAATAAATTCCAATAACCAAAAAATACTTAAAAGAGTGCTGAATACAGAGTTGAATCAACACCATAAGTGTTGAAACAAAATGGTTATTTTTGTAGTAATTTTATAACATATTAATGTTATAATTTTCGAATAAATTTATATATATATATATATATATATGCACACACACACGCCTTCAGATATGAGTTTTTCGTTTCAAGACTGAGCTCATAACTTAAAACACTCTTATCTCAAATCAATTTTCCCAACTGAAATTAATGGGAATATTTCCAATCCATTCCAGGCTCTTATTTTCCTAAAACTCACCCCTATTTTTGTGTTTGTGAGTTTCTTACAAGCAAAAATGTGTGAATAAACAAGAAATGTAGTTTACAAATGGTAAAATAAAAGCAAAAAAAAAACAAATTTTAAAGAAATAAACTGTACCATAATGTTCAGATGAGTCATAGGCCATCTGAAGCAAGAGAGAGGGACAACAACAGCTAGCCTAGCAACCTAGCCTAGCTACAGCTAGTGTAGTTTACGATACTAAAGATTAACTTTATCATTTAATTTTTTTAAACATTTACATTTTATATATGATTGTAATTACTTTTAATTTTTTTAATTTTATAATTTATTAATTGTCCATATAGAACATTCATACTGTTCTCACCAAATCCATTTTCGTTTTACACATGTTTTTTTTTTTTATAATTTCCTGCTTTACCTCAAGTGAAATGATATGTTTCAGATTTTCATCTTTGCTCTTTACACTTTCTTCGGATTCATGGTGTCACTAAAGGAATTTTGCAAAATAACAGCAAAAAAGACAACACAACAGAGACCCTTCCAGAGTGAGGTGAACATGTATACTGCAAGTGGAAATACTCTCAAATGTTGGAACCACACTGCCCCAACTAACAGATCCTTAAGTGACACTTGCTTGTATCTCAAAATGTAGCATGTATCTCAAGGCAAAAAAATTGGCTGAACTCCAGTTTGTATCGCAAAAAACTTATATGTTGGTATGCTCACATCTCAAGGCATTACTTTATGGGTGTGTGTATGCTTGTGTGTGTATGTATATATATATATATATATATATATATATATTATATATGGTCACATGGCCAAAAGGTTAGAACGTTCGCATTGGGACCATGAGTCCTTGGATCAATCCCAGCATTGGCTCCTTTGGAAAGTGGTTGAAAACCATACTACAGGTTGACCCAAGCCTTGTTAGTGAAATTGGGTAGGCAGAACCCTTGGGGGCCATTGATAGCTGTGCTAGCACAAAGTCACAAGTCATCATGACCAAGGGTTTGAGTGTGCTGGTCTTGTTCAGATTGTTGATCACATGCTATCTCCCAGAAACTGTAACTAAGGTCTGCTCAGCAAAGTTGCAGTAGAAACCACATGTTGGCTCTGTGGGTGTTGGACAAACACAAATTTGGCTGAGTGAGTGTCTGCAATAGAGATTGGCTAGCCACCCTAGTAGGCAGGTATTCTGGAATATGAGTGGCCAGCTATATATATATATATATATATATATATATATATATATATATGTGTGTGTGTGTGTGCTTGGGCACCTTGACACAGTCTAATAGTAAGGTTGTCTGATTGGTCAAATTATGACTGAGTAGTGTGTTCAATCCTCAATGAATGCTCTATATTTTTGTCCCTGTGACACATCTAAGCCATGCTTAGTAAATCACTATCTATTAATGTGTTTATTACATTTTTTTTCGTAAAAAAGGACAGAATACTGAGCTGTTACTTGACATCTGTTCTTTATGGCAGCAAATGTTGGATGATTTCCTCAAAGATGAAGAAGAGTCTCGAGGCGACGGAGATGTGGTTCTACAGAAGGATGCTAAGGATGTCATGGACTGAGTGTGTGAGCAACAATAAGGTCTTAGAGAGGATGAGAACAAGGAGGAGGCTTATACTTAAAATCCGGAAGAGGCAGCGGAAGTTCCCGAGACATGTAATGAGGAAGGAGGGTCTGGAGAATCTGATACTCACAGGTCAAATAGAAGGAAAGAGAAACAAGGGAAAACAATGCATGACATACCTAGTGGCCTTAAACAAGTGGATGACAGAATGTGGTCTGGGGGAGATGGCAGAGGGAAGGAACTTGTTGAGAGCTGCAAGGGATAGAGGGAGGTGGAGAGCCATGATTACCTATGTCCCAAAAGGACACGGCACATAGAAAGAAAGATATCTATCAGCCTTACATCTACTGGATCCAAAAGACTTAAAGAAAATGTGCTCTCCGGCAGGGTCCAAACCTGCATCCCCTTTGTAGGAGAAGCCTCTGTTTGATCTGGCATGCTTGGCCACAGAGAGTGTCTAGCAAGGTTCAATTACTCTTTTAAAGAATTCACATTATTTTATTTAATCCTTCAGCATTCAACACTTTTAAACCTTCTCCATAAATAACGTCTCTTAAAGTCTCACTGTTTGCATGTCTTCCTAAACTATTTGCAATGGTGTCATCATATATTATGGCAGAGTATACATTGGGCATGGCTGAACATTGAGAGTCAATATTTACTGGATGTGTTGAATGATAAAATACTAAGTCTTCTCGAATGGCTACATCTGCTAATTTTTTGTATGTAAAATGTAAACAAAGGAATTTCTAAGAAGTCAATGAATGCTTTATCCAACACTATTTCCTACAAATCCAAATGTTGTTTTGTGGATACACATGTATGAGTAGCTGGATTGTTTTTTTGAACAATGTGACTTACATCTACCAGTCCACATATTCAAGAGACTTAAAAAAAAAAATATACTCCCCAGCAGGATTTCAAAAATAAAGTGTCTACTCAAACATGGGTGTATTCACTATTTACATTATTTGGACTATTGTCCTCATCTTTGTCGCCATATTTATTACAACATTTTGGCCATTGTACACTCCAGCCTTCTTCAGGTGGTTGGAATGTTGAACTGAACCCTTTATTTCACTCACTGGGGTAGACTGTTCTAGTTCCATGCCATGTCTAATGGATGTCCGTTATCAGTTATCTCCTGTTAATTCCCCTCTCCAAGTTCTCCACCACCTTAACCAGGTAATTGAACTCACACTCTTTGGGTCCTGTCATTGGATCTAACTAATGCCTTTATCCACTGTGCTATGTGTCCTTGTGCCGATTGCAGGTGTGCCCAGAATTACAGTGAATAAACAAAGCACTAGAAATTAAATGATACAGAACTATTCTAGATATCTCCTATGTAGACCACATCAAAATTCAAGGTCCTATCAGACAAGAAACAGATTGGTTAAAAGACCTCATAATGACCATCAAGAAGAAAAAGTTAAAATGGTATGGCTATATCACAAGAGCTAATGGCTTATGGCCACATCAAGTTGAAACATTGGTTCCTATATGATCACCAGAGTTAAGCAATGTTGATCCTGGTCAGTACCTAGATCGGTGACCATTTAGGAATACCAGGTGCTGTAAGTTTTAATGTATATGTGGTGTAATAGATAATAGCCCAGAATTGTTAATTGGAGAGCTGAGTTCCAATTCCTGTAGAGATTTGTTATATTAACTAACATGCAAATACCCATGGGAAAGGTATGAGTACACCTCTTCTCCTCCAGCTATGGGTTAATTAGTAAGACTTGTATCACTAAAACCATTATTATCCAAATAAATAAAATTACGTACAAAATATTTAGATTTTGGCATTAAATAACCCATAGAGGTTGATATGCTGCTAAACAAAACCATCCAACCAAACCAATCAAAATATTTAGATTTTGGCATTAAATAACTCATAGAGGTGTTGATATGCTGCTAAACAAAACCATCCAACCTTGAGTGAATAGGAAGAGCTTTCATACACTCAGACATTGGCACACCTGAGATATATGGAGGGGGCTGGTGTTCAGCAGTTCAGTGACTCTACAACCACATCCAGTCATGTGACTGATGATTCATTTTTTTAATACTATTGTTCACACAATACAAGGCCCGAGAGTTATGCAAGGTAGAGTGAATGAGACTGCTGTAAGAACATAAAAGGAGTAGGAAGAGGTGCATATTATGAGACAATGTGGGATAGATAGTTTTACCAAAGACTTGAAAAGGTCAAGATTGCAGTGGTTGGGGAAACATGTTCTCATCACTTAGTTCTACAAAGTGACAGTTCTGGGGAGTAAGCTGTCTGAGTGGAACGTTCTCCTTAAGATCATCTAAGAAAGACGACAAGCTTCCAAGAATGGAGATGCAAGTCCAAGTCTCGTTGGAAACTTAATTTATTCTTATTCTACCTTCATGTTATTTAACTGTCAGAGGGTATTTGATTCACAAAGCTCTGAAGAAAGTAACAAAATGAAGAGGAAACTAGAAGGTATTCAACTTTTAAAGCTGGGATAAAAAAAACCCCAAAAGAACAACAATTATGATGAAAAAGTTAAAAGTGAAAAAATTAGAAGCAAAATAAATTAAAAATAGAAAATAAATAGTTATAATATTAATATCAGTGGTAGGAATTCTGTATTTGTGCTTCTAGAGTTGGTCAGTGTTATTTTGCATTGCAGTTGAAAGGCGATAAGAAATGACATTGTAAAAAGTGGGAATGTTGTTTTAAATATTCCCACCTCTGTATATTTGACCTTAGTTTTATATCATAACAAAGCCAGTGCTAAATTTCTGTCCACACCTACAATAAGTTGAGAAAAAGAAAACTTTCCTTTCCCCATAATTTCCTGCTAACAAAAGTTGGACTAAATCTTTTTGTTTTCTTTCAATTACACCCTTCAAGCATATTGGTTTGTAATTTAAAGTTTTTTTTTTGTTTTTTTTTTTACCCTTCCTTTTCTAAAGACTGTTCAACAAGTAAAGGAAAAGGGGGAAAATTATTGTTTTTTTTTCTGTCTATCTTTGTGTTCAGCAGGTGTAATAGCTGGGTATATGAGGACGACGGAAGGGGAAGTATTTTCATTGTTTTTCTAACATTTAAGCAACTGGACTGGTCTGACTACTTGGGTAGGCAATACAATAAACCAAGACAACAGGCAGGACAGGTATTAATGCACCTTGGGGTGAAGAGATAAGTCCATTAATCAAAAGTAGTCTGGATATAGGTTCTTCCCATCTTCATTCCCTTGCCTTTAATGCCAAATGGAACTCAAGCTCAACCCAGACCTCAAGAGAAACTTATATATATGGTCCATTCACTAAAGATGCTGGTAAAAAAAAAAAAAAAAAAAAAAAAAAATGGTTCATTGTATTGCTCCAGTATGGATCTGATGTCTCCTGTTCTTTACAAGAGTCAGATTAGACAAAAAAAAAGTGGGTAATAAATTAATTTCTACTCTACAATCTCTATCTTACAGGTGAAATGTCACAAACCATGTACTACTCTATTACTATTATGGCAGATGTTCTGAGGAGCTGCATTTCTTAGTTCGCACTAGTTCTGAACTTCAACACTAAGACCCACCATACCATGTACACTGGAACAAAGTAACTCCATTAGTCAGAAAGAAATTCTTCCCAAGAAAAGTTACTTTGTGGAATAGACTCCCAAGAATATGCTTCCCTGATTGCTACAATCATAACCTCGTCAAGTTTAAGGTTAATGATTGTCTTTCTGTTATATAGGAATAAAGTGTCGCTGCCGAGTTTGAACACAGATCACCAGAGAGCAAACGCAGGCGATCTCATTTTGAATAAGTAGATCATATGATGGTAAAAGAAATGTATATATGGGAATTAGCATGACGTCTAAGTGATCACTATTTGGTGGTTACTTTTCGAGTGAGTATTATCAAGTAAGTACTATTAGTGTGAGTGTTATTCCAAGGTGTCTGACACCAGTATTGTTCAACAGTGTTACTTTAGTTGCATCTGCGATTACAAAGTCTCTACTACAACGAGCATTACGAAAGTGACAAGTATTTGTTGACATCACAAAAGTGGAAACAAGTGTTTATTGATATCACAAAACTGTCTTATATATCCTCACTTTTTTATTTATTTTTTGTTTAACCATTTCACCCCAAGCAAGGCGACAATGCCACTAGAATGCAGGGGGTTACAGAGAGAGAAAGTGAAAGAGATGATTTAAAATGGAGAGGATTGAGGAAAGGACAATAAAGGAACAGGGTTCAAGAAAACAGAAGATGGCAATTGACATTGCATTTAAATTTTTGAAGATTGTAGTTATCAGGGAAGCAAGAAATCAGTGAGAATGAATTGTTATAATAGAAGTTGTGGTTTCATCTAGCTAATTCAACAGTAAAATGGTGAGACCTAGTTATAAATCTAGTAGCACACTTAAATTCATGTAATCAGTGTTACTAGTAAAATCAATATATATATATAATATATATATATATATATATATATATATATATATATATATATATATACCTTGACAACAAACCCAAATGTTACTTGTTTTAACCATAATTTATTTTTTTAGATAACTAAATTTCAGATAAAATTAAAAAATTAACATATAAGTTATAAATAACTATAAAACGTATATTTCTCCTTTTGAATACAAATATATATTTTGATTCTCAATATTATTATATGCAGTAGAAGTAAATCTTTGCTGTATAATTTCTACACTAGTTAACTACAAATAAAGAAAAGAGAGATTCTTACAATCTAAAAATATTTTCTGGCTTTAAATAACCTGCAAAGTGTTGATAAAATGTACAAAACAAATCAATCAATAAAAAATGTTCTTTTATAGATTGGTGTAATCTACTTTTGGAAATTTCCAAGAATGAATCAAATAAATCTGGATAGTTCAAGGAGAAGGATGTTGTCAAGAAACATCCAAAACTGAAGAAAATAAACACAAACAAAACTTTTGTAACAATAAGTTGTTGAGATTCAGTTAGTATCACTACTTGGATATTGACTACTAAAATCAATATGTATATGTTATTTTTTTTACCATAATTTATTTTTTTAGATAAGTAAATTTCAGATAAAATTGAAAAATTAACATATAAGTTATAAATAAATATAAAAAGTATATTTCCCCTTTTGAATATGAATCGTATATATTTTGATTCTTTTTTTGATTATTACATGCAGAAGGAATAAATCTCTGCTGGGTAATTTCTACAATGTGGAAATCAGTTATATTTATCTTTTGAATGAAATTTCCTCTTTTTTTACACACTGGATGATGACTTGCTGTTCATTTTTGATTAAATGGATTTAACACTTTGATCTGATTCTCATAATCATTCCTGTTCTGAACATACTTATTTTTTTTTATCATTCCAGTTTCAACCCAAGCAAGGTGACAATGCCACTAGAATGCAGGGGGTTACAGAGAGAGAAAGTGGTGAGTTAAAATGGGGAGGATTGAGGAAAGGACAATAAAGGAACAGGGTTCAAGAAAACAGAAGATGGCAATTCACGATGCATTTAAATTTTTGAAGATTGTAGTTATTAAGGAAGAAATCGGAAAGGAGTTCTACAGGTGGGAAGTGAGTGGAAAAAACTGTTAGAGTAGAAGTGGTAGTTGCAACTAGTTAGTTCAACAGTAAAATGGTGAGACATAGTTGCCAATCTTGTAGCACACTTTCAGCAACATTCTTGGGCCTTGCATTGGGTGAACAATCTATTGTTATGTCCTTATGCAATAAACCCATAAAACATACTATGCTTAGCAAATCATCTTTCAACTTCTCTAATAATATAATACATTATCCCCTATCTCTCTTTCAATTTGGAATGGTAGTTGCTGACTACAAAAACAATTAGTTCAAACAGGCTGACCCCAGCAACAGATCCAAATGGAAGCTACAAATAGATTCTCACACAAGCAGAATCACATGACCAAGTACAAACATCAAGTGGGGAAAAAATCAATAAGAATCAATTGGGAAATGAGTCTTATCTGAACAACATATTTACTCGTTACTGTCAAGCAAAGGAAGTCACATGATGAAGACAAATTGTCTAGTTATAATTAAATCTTGTTAATCTATATATTGGTGTTTGTTGTTTGTTAGTGTTAGTTGTTGTCACTTCTCATTTGCGTATATCACCCTATAAAGAATCTGTCCACTATGGAGTGGTAAACCTGGTGTCTTCTAGGCAGCAGGTCATTTTTTCTTTTTAAATTTTTGGCTGTGGTAATTATCCATAACACTATATATAAAATTCTGTGACTTCCATTAATCTGTCCGTCCATCACACTCTCTAAAATAGCCATACATTGACTAATTTGTTGCAGTTCAGTGTGTTCTTCCGACGTTTCGGTAGACACTGGTAATTACACCGCTCACCCTAGTAGTAGGTTTGAAGCTAGCGCCCAGCTTCCAGACAAAAATAAACAGAGTTGTAACTTAATACAAACCTCTATAGCAGTGCATATCACCACGGTCCCAGTCAAACTGCCAGCCAATGTCCCAGACCTTTTTTATTGACCAAAAACACGGCCAACACACCAATCATCACTGTTGGCCTTGTTCTCAATC